CCAGGATTTAACATTAATAATAATAGTAATAATAATAATAATAATGGCCAACTAATTTATGAACACTTAACATTAGCGTTCCAGTTTGGAATGTTATCTTAATAAGAAGGAGCTACATAAAATACTATCTAAGCCAGGTATGTTAAGGTCGCGGGCAAAGTAACAAACGCTAGAGCTCGCGGGTCTTGTCAAGAGCTGGCGTGAGATTTAAAAGTAAGGGTTGTACTAATTGCTCTAGAATGGAGGTACGTCACTGGATACGTGGCCCACGACAGACTTTTGAAGAAGTCATTTGACACTTATTTCCCCAAATTGTAGCTACATTAATTCCCACTTCCTCTATTAATGCGAAGAAATGATCCATTAAAATGAAATAATAGATTTGTAAGATTTCAAGTTGTCAGTTGAACATTTTGTATCAAAAGTATCTTGATTTTGTAACTGTCTACTTAAGAGTGCAATAATTGCATGAACTTCCTATGTTCAGGTTAGGAGGTTTAACAAATATCCTTGTCTGTTAAGAGAGCTATCCGTTCGTAAACGAGAATTGTTCATTAATAAAAACTCGTTATTTTTTACATTATTGATATACACAACAAATAACTGAATGATTTAATAAAACACAAAATAACACAAAACGAAAACAAGGAAGTAATTCATTTTAACATATTTCCGCCACTTGTTAAAAATATTAATACAAGGCAGAAAATAAACATGAAATAGTAATAAGTAGTGAACTTAATACAAATCTCGGTTGTTTGATAGAACAAATCTGGCAAACATATTTTCGCATGAAGCCACTATTCCCCGCCTCGCGCCCCTTTGGCTTGCGACTGTACATCCCAGTCTGAATTTGGAGGGGAAGTGAGTGCGGAGTCAGGGGAAGTTGCCCGTGCTAGGAGGAGCGATGGACTTGCAGCAATTCATACTGATGATTAAAAAAACAAAAAAACACACACAATGGTTTTCCGAAAAGTAGAACAAACACTACCCAAGTACAACAAATAAGTACTCTCCTGTAACACAAAGTTTAAATATTTAAAAAAACAATCCCCACATTTATAGCAATAATATACAATAATCGTTGACGTATAAGCACTACAACAGTTCTTTACATACCAAGAACTTCAAAAAAGTTGTTGTTCCATAGCGCAACATGATAATTACAAATATAATAGTGGTTGGTCTTATATATTATTATTATATATTCCTTTGGAGCCTCTCTGCCGCATGTCAATTATATAATAATATAATAATAAATTTATTTAAACTGAAAGTGGTGGCAGCTAATTACATAAATATGATAAAATATACAAATTATACAGTAATAATAATAATAATAGTATTATTATTATTATTATTATTATTAATATAAACTGACTGGTTAATACAACATTAAATTACTTTAAGAAAAAGGAACTTTTATAGTCTAACTCCGCACTGAATCACGCATATCGTACGCATAGTAAACTTGACGCGCTGAGTCTAAGAATTCTGTCGGTGCACGCAATATGACACTTCGTGACATTTCGTTATGTCGTCTGTGGCACTTGACGTTTTGTCGGCCGATCCGATGCGTTGCCTTACACTCGCACGGCTAGTATTTGCTCATGATTTGTTAATAAATAACGTTAATAAAATTATTGTGGATTTCTGTGCTCTTAATGCAAAAAAGTGCCGAAGTAGATACTAATCTTTTTTTAATTTGTATTTTCCCAGTCTCTAGGTGACGCTGTGAACTATGTGTCTATGGCCAAACTCTGCTTATCTTAACATTTTTTTTCGCATTTCAATATCTTTGTGGAATATTTACATGCATATTTCAGGCCAAAAGCTTGCATAAACTTCCAGCTCAATATATCACATATTAACCGAGACACTTATCTCTCTCACACTTATAGACCGGGCAGACCTTATTGGACAGCGGGAGGCAGAGTTGCTTTATTATCATAAATAGCAAAGTCATATTCGCCATGGCCTTCCTTCCCGTCATCACACTCGGCCTCGAAAATTTGGCTACTCCTTTTCACCAACACATCATTTTCGCAGTTTACAAACAGCCCAACATTTCTCTCACTAACCATCAACTACATAAACTATTTTCCAGTGACGGGAATGCAAAGCCTTTTACAGAGGGATGTTGAACTTAATCGATCGGAAACTCGTTCTAAAATAGGCATTTCAATGAACATAACTTTTCTGTAATTGTTCTGGAAGAATCCCCTTATCTTTCTTAAATTCCCAATTCCCTCCAGATATTCTAGAATTGTTATTTGAAATGGCTCCAAATTTTTTCTCTAAATGTTTTGGGAGGTACCTCCCCCCCCAGCCCGCCCGTATAGTTTAATAAAACTAATACTAAACGAAATAAACTATATTTATAATTTAAAAGAAACTGAATTTAATACTCTTAGTGGTGGACAAAATAATTGTTAGAATGTTAATTGTCGGCCAATTTAGTAAACAAGTATGATTGTAAGTAGTGATAATATTATAGGAGTAGTTCCTAAAAATTAAAGGCAATCAGAAGCAAATAAAAACCTTCTCAGAATATGATACATTTATTTTCCATTTACAAAGACATAAGCATGATATTGCAAATAGCATTAGGAAGGCTTTAGTATAACCATATCTTCAGTTCGAGGTTTTAAAAATTTACAGTAAAATTTGATTTGAAAATTGCATGATATAAAACAAAAACTAGTGTACACATTAATTCTCATTCATTCAGTAGGTTGTATCTCTAACATTTACCATTTTCTTACTAGTGATAGCTTTGTTAAAGACATTTTCATGTAAAAAGTAATTGTAAGAATACGAACACCATTTTGTACAGCTCTGATTAATAATAAACTGTGTGAACAGAGGCAATTAGCTTATTAGATTGGGTGCCAGATATTTTCACTAGTTCAGTAGTTTTCTTCTTCTCCATTTGTTAATTTCTAAATTTATTTTTATTTCAAAAGCAAAAGAAAAGTTAAAATTCATATTAAAAAAAACAATGTTGCCCAAAATATTTAATTGCATTAATATAAATATTAATTAATGTATTATTTTCTTAGTTTAAATTATTGAACTTCAATAGAGAACTGTATTATATACTAAGAATAAGACAAAATATTCTGGGACATTCAAGAAAACAAAGTTATATCAATACCTCCCAAAGTGCTTTAATATATCAGAAAATGATAAAAAATTGCGCTTTTGTGAAATTTCCTACCATAAGAATATCAAAATATTATATCTTTACTACGATATTCGGAGTAATAAGTGCTTGGGAAACAGAGTCCCAGACGCGTGTAATAAGATTATATGCTGGAAGGCTTCCGAAAGTGCACAAGAATGAAGCTTCATTCAAATCTCAGTTCCTGTAGATATTTCTGAGATCTTGAACTGATACAACGGTCAACAAGCTACTTACCATTTTCCAGGATAATCTGAAAATTATTGACAAGTGTTCGGAGAGGAAGTTAAAAGATTTTTTTAGTGCCCTGGCCGGTATTCTAATACAGCAAATCTTTTAAATTCGGGTCCAACCTTTTCTCTTTCATTTCCCACATGTCCCACTTATCCTTCACCTGTGATCGAAATGATTTCTCATAAATTGCCAAAATCTATCGTCTTTCCTTAGCGTACGACCTGCTTATATAAAGAATTCGAAAGCTTTAGATTTATTAGATTTATTTAGTCAAAAACAGTAAAAACTGTATGTGACGTATGGGGGAGATCATTTGCGCACATTTTGGTTAGTTCCAGAAACCCTTCCCATCATTTTAACTATATATAGTTGAAATATGAATAAAAGTTAGATAAATAAAAATAAAATTTAAAAAAGTGCGAGATTAGCAACATTTGAAAAACTAGACATTTAAAACTTTAAGCTATAAGTAATTTATAGCTTAAAAAAACATGGTTAATTTGTAACTACATTCCAAAGTCAAGATATTGCTGGGAGCTAGAACAATGTAGGACTTGCTTGGTCGAGGGTCGGGGGTGTATGCAACGTAGATTGAAAGACGCGAATGGTAAAGCCTTCTGTGTGCTTTTCGGTGATAAGGAAGATTTTAATTTTCTTTAAATTTCTGCGCGACCGAAACAGAGAGGAAAATGGATGGGAATGGGAAGCTACTACTTCCAACATAGAAACGTGACGCTCCCCCAGAACATTTAAAAGAATTGACTAACAAAGAATTAGGAACATTTCTACAAAAGTTTCGGACCATTTGGTAAATGGAAATTAGGGAGTGGGAAAACAGCACGGGTTAGTACGAGACGATGAAAGCCATGTACGATCTTGTGGAGACGGACGTTGGAATAAATGTCAATATTAACGATCAGAATAATTGTTTTCCATTGATTCGTCAGAATACAAATTTCTTCTAGTCTAATCCCAAAGCATCGAGCCACGAAACATTGAAATCAGTTTGCCGGCCCTTGCACACACGACTACGGGATTTGCACAAATATGTACACATTTGTATTAAGTTTTTCTGAAGTTACTGAAGACCTTTTATTTTTGTAAATTTACGATGAGTAGAGTAACAAAATTTTTTAGTGTCAAAGGTTATGAGTTATCTGGATATATAGTGACAAATCTTCAACCGCTCATTCCCTTACCTTGCATTTCAAAGGTTTCAAACTCTTACATTTCTTGAACTCTATTGTTAAGTTTGAAGATCTTCGTTAGTATATTCATGATCCAAATTACTTTTTATCGTTTATTTTAATGATTGATACTTGGAATTCCAAGTATTGATGGAGAAAGGTTTATTTTTGATTAATCTATGTAAAATTCATTCTGATGTTTTTAATGTTTGTTACTGTGCCCTGTAGCCAAGACCAGAGATCGCTGTAAATTCACCTATAAACTCGCTACCACTCAGCCACCGACCCGCGAAGGCCACTTTCCCTAAAAGATGACAATATAAGTGATATAGGAAGTTTTGCTGGTTTAATTTAAAATGATCATGAACAAAAAATGTGAAAATTAAAATTTTTAAAAACTTTATTTCCTAAGATTTTCAACAAAAGGAAATACATTTAATAAAATAACTATATACGATTAAATCGACATGAACCCTTATCTATCTAGCGTATCCGTAGAGCTGGTATTCCCTAATTGGGTCAATCATATTTGAGTCTGCCTCCGTGAATTCCATTTCATTTATGCCCAGTGAAAAAAGCCTTGAGCTTGAACATGACCGTGAACTGTTCTGATATGCGCTTGAACACTTCATAAATGGCGGATGTGCTGCATGAACTGCCACCATCAAGGCGCGGTGCTGCCACGCAACCGTCAGTGGAGTGAAACCGGGCACGAAGAAGTGTAGCGTGGGGACGGGCACCATGTTCACGGTCAACGTCCTCAGGTCGGCGTTCAGCTGGCCAGAAGCGTAGGCAGATGGTGATCCCGGTCATCCCGGGTGAGGGCAGATGGTGATCCCGGGTGAGGGAGACCAGGTCGTTCACATCTCCGTAAGTGGGATTTGTCAGCTTCAATGTGCTATAGGCAGATTCGGACAAGGCTTCGTAGTCGATGCAAATGGTCTCGTCCGCGTTCTCGACGAGCTGAAGGCCCAACAATGTGGAGTTGTATTGCTCCACGACCGTGTCAGACACCTTGGGGGAGGGCACGACCGAGTATGTCTTCATGATCCGGTCGGGGCAATCTCGCGGATCTTAGACATCAGTAAAGTACCCATGCCGAAGCCCGTGCCACCGCCCAGCGTGTGAGCGAGCTGGAAGCCCTGCAGGCAATCTCAGCTCTCAGCCTCCTTACGGACCACGTCTAGCACGGCGTCTACCAGGTCGTCTCCTTCTATGTAGTGGCCCTTGGCCCAGTTGTTGCCGGCGCCACTTTGCACGTACACGAAGTTGTCAGAGCGGTATAGTCTGCCGAAGGGGCCACACTTGACTGCGTCCATGGCCACGGGCTCCGAAGTCTGCGAGGACGGCGCGTGGCAAGTATCTACCCCTTGAGACAACGTAGTGTACGTTGATCCTCTCCAGCCGCGTATCGGCATCGCCATGGTGGGCACCGGCGGCGTCGACGCCATGCTCATCCGAGATATTTTCCCAAACCTGGAAACAGTAGGCCGGGAGGGGGGGGTATCAGTACACCAAACCCATGCTCCAAGCAACAAAATTAATATAAATGTTTTACCGAACATTCTTTTTGTGCTGATATTAACAACTCTAGAAAACGTTATGACTATGAAAAGAAAGTATGTTTCGGAACATATTTTTGTTTAAATACATACTCATGGTATTGTATATAAGGCAGATTAGTATCAGTCCTTCAAGCTATTATACAATGTAACATTGGTTTATATGACAAAGTTTAATTCGACATTACGTGTAATTCAACGCCACCTGTCGGTCCATCAGCTCGTCGAGAACACGGACGAGACCTTCTGCATCGACAATGAAGCCTTGTACATCTTCTGTCGCACGCTGATGCTGACCAACCCCACTCATGGAGATCCGATATGCGTACGACAAAGGTTCTTCCACTACACAAAAAGGAAACAATTATTTGATGGTAACTTGTAGCGTTTAACCCACAAACTAGTGCATTTGTTTGTTACACAAAAATGAACCATTCTCGTTCATCCTAACTTAGATACAATCTGATTTCCGCATTACTCGGTCTGTATGTGAACAATTTCCCTCTTAATTAAGACTATTACTCCAAGACTTAATGCGATATATTCTCTCAGTGCGGTTGCGGCAGTGGACTCTCTAGACTGATTGAGCTCGGACTGGGCTGTTATTTTAACATTGGGGAGGGGAATTCGCTAATGTCGCTTACCCCTTAGCCCCCTTCCATGGAGCCCGGCGGAGGACCCGGTGCTCTCCCCTTCTTGCTTCCCCAACCTTCTTTTTTCCTCCACACCTCACCCACCGCGTGCGAGCCTTCCAATACATCTGCGAAGTTGGCACCCCCACTTCTCAGAAATACAAAACCAAGCTCGTAATTGGGTATTAATTATGTACAAAATAGAAAATAGTTTGCGCAATTACAAACAATTTACTAGAAGTACTTCAGAAAGACACAGATTTTTTCGTAGTAAAGTTTTAAAAATTCCGTGGTGTGGACTGGCTTTACGGTCTTGCTTTATTCTCTGGCCACTTGCTTATCTCCGCCCAAAGTACATTTTTTGACATTTTCTCAATATTTCGGTTTCTTAATCGTAGAACCAAAACATTCCGTTAAGAATGTTAAAGAAGAGTAAAGCCTCGTCCTAAATAGCAATTTTCATTGAAAAATTTGGAGCCATTTTTAAGAAAATGGCGTTTCAGCATAATTGCGAAATCTAAAGCTCTTTTTACAGAAAATTTTTGAGTTTTCGAAAAAGTCCATTAAAGTCATTTGAGGCACATTAACTCACTAATGCAATAGTGTTAACAAATCGCTGGGAATGTGCATATTAACGGAGTGGGAGACATTTAAAAAAATTACATTTGTGTAATTTTTGAAAAAAACCAAAGAATACTCCAAAATAAGCTATATGTCTATTAAACAGTGCAATTAGCACTATCCGATTGAAAAAATAATTTTAAGTAGTTTTTAAAAAAAACAGCGTTACAGTATTTATGAAAATTCGGAATTTTGAGCTCATTTTCACAGAAAACTGTTGAATTTTTGAGAAATTTTATACACCCTTATTTAAAGTGCTTGCACTAATAAATACAATAATGTCAACAAATCGCTGCTAATGTAAATATTAACGACGTGAGGCAAGTGAAACCATACCTTTTTTTGTAATTTTTGAAAAACAAAAGAATAGAGTAATATGGCATTTATATCATCTTATAGAGTGCATTTACCATTATCCCTTTACAAAATGTAAAGAGAAAACTGGAACCTTTTTGAAAAATTTTTGTTTTTGTAATGTTTTGAAATAGCAAATATTCCACGCAATATTGCGCGAAAAATACTAAAATTTTCAAAAATATGTACATCACCTTACTGAAAGCACTAATTATTGACAACAAATTTTATTTGAAGGAAAAATCTGTCTTCAATTTTGTAGTTGTGGGATGATGCCACAAATAATTCAGAATTTTGAAATTCTCGAAAATTTGGAGAGAACCCTGAATGTCGGAGCTATACCACCTTTATAAGAGTATTTTACTGTATTCGTACAATAAATTAAATAACAAATGGAGCAGTTTTTGAGAAAATTTTCAAAATTTCCGGGGGGACCTTCATGTAAAATATTTTATAAAATATCTCAGGCTACTCTCAGCTCATGCTGCAATACAATTTTTTTCGTTTTAATGATTACCCGAAAATATTTCTGCTTGAAAGTTTCGTGACAAATTAAAATTAATAGTTTCTGAAAAAGTAAAGGGAAGAAATTTCAATTCCCTCCCCATAGATCCGTGCCTGATAGAATAATGCACGAATTATGTACTAATTGTGTACTATAATACAGGACATTGAAAAAATTTGATCTAGAGAGCAGAGGTCTCATTTTCAGGTAATCGCTGTATTTCGGAAAATTGCAAAAAAAATACCATTGTAAAAATAGAATATTGATGATAAATATCATTTTCGTCATAAGCGTTGCACAAAACAGCGATTTTGTTTTCGTGGACCGCTCCATTTGTCGATGAGAGCGTGTTTGTTTTTACATCATAACTACTGGCACCCATAGACAACATTGCCTTCATTGCTAGAAAGATTAATCTGATTCTCTCCCCCTTCTCTTCCCAGAGATACACCTACCCTTTACCAACCATATTTTTAATAATTCACTAATTTTCTGAAAATAAAATTTTAAAGAATTGAAAAAAGTGAAGTTACTCATTATTTTGAAGAGGAAATAAGATGAAATTCCAACTCAAATCATGCGACTAATATTAAGAAAAATATATTTCTAAGTGAGCTAAACACACCCTACTTACCCTACTATAAAGCTAGAGAGGAGAATATAAAATGTAAATAAATAAATAAAAAAATTCTTTATTTCCCCGTTTGTGCGTGAGCCGGAACGGAGGCGAGGAGGCAAGAAGGGGTGCAGGGTAGGGGGAAGAGAAGCGAGGGGCATGAGAGGCGACGCGGAGTGGGGGCAGTGGTGGGAACGACAGGGTCGGCCGGCAGGTCGCGAGGCGGTCGGGCCGAGGCAATGGAGTTTAGAACCGCGGCGAGCGCTAGTTTTTTGGCGAGCTGGAAAGGGCCGACGCCCAGTGTCCGCTACAATGCGTGCAGTGCCTCGACGCTCCATCGGCATTGTTTGCGAGGTGCCGCCCGAGCCTATCCAGTGGCTACGCATCGCCTTCGAGGCGCCGCCCGCGCCCACCGAGTCGCTCCGCAGAGAGACGGGGACGCCGCGCACCGCTTCTGGCGATCGTGCCGTCGTGTCATCTCGCCGCGCCCTCGGCGCATGCTTTGCGGCCTCACACCGCGTCGGTCCAGTCGCTACCACCGTGATGGGGATGTCGCATCATCCTAACGCACCCTCTGCAGCCCTCAAGGCGCCCCCCGCGCTTGTAGCGAACAGATGCTGCGTGCGTTTACCTGGGCGCCACTTCACCCAGTCGCGGCCGTGACAGAGCTAGTAGAGACGCTGCACGCACCGACCTCCGCGGTGTCATCAGGGCCCTTTCCCGTGACCGCCTTCCCAACCAGCGCCCGGGTCAAATGCCGGGCGAAGGAGACCTTGGATCAATCGGGCATCGTCTAGATTTTTTTTAGTGTAGTTGGTTCTGGGAAAATATGCTGTTTTTTTTAAGTAAAGCATTCAGACTAGACTACATTTCAATTTGAATGATGACTTTCAGCAGGAGCAGGACCTGGATCCTATCGTTACTCGGGAGCGGGAAAACGAAAGATAATGTGTGCTCACCCCAGATTACGGGAGTGACGCCACATTACAAGAAATTGTGTTCGCAAAGAAACATTAACTCAAGAATTAAAAAGCACTCGATTTACGCAATCAAATTGCTGTTTTATGCTCACGCTTCATTTCCTTTTTCTGACAATTAGATAAACTTTAATTAGGTTGATAATAAAAAATATCATTGCCATATTTTGCACCTAATTTGAAGTATTAATTTCTTTAATAGCATAACACATTCATTAATATTGCCATTACGCATATTCATTTGAGGAGAATGCATACAAAAATTATCTCAATGTCATGTGTCGATATTGACTACGGTTTCCATTTAATTTTAATCAGTGGTAGAATTTTAAATATCACAGCAGATAAGTTGTCTAACAGTATTGGCTTTTCCACTTGTATTTTTCATTGGTTGGGGGTAAAACTGCAATCTTGTGAACATAGCATTTGAAGTGTGGTTGTAACTAGCACAAAATGTTTCTTCCCATATGTTCAATATGGTTATTCATGATGTTACCTAAATAAAAACATTTTAAGAGTAATCATTAAGGTTTCAGAGTACCATTGAAAAGAACAGTGTGAAGAGATTTATATAAACAATGAAGTTTGAAAGACTCGATGCATTTGATTCGTGAAGATTATCCTTGAATGTTTTAATACTTCATCAGCTATGGCAAATAGAGATTGTGCTATAATTGGTAGTATTTTTTTGCATAACATTTTAGAGTATTTGAAAATTCAGTTCATCAAATAAAAGTGAAATTTATAATCAATAATACACTAGAATTGGGCAACACTGGAATTTACAGTTAATTTGCCATTGAACCACTTATTTAACTTCAATAATTAAATTGAAAAGTAGATTTTCATCTAGTAATAAACCATTGATAAAAACTCTTGAAAGACAAGCATGTGAAATTTAAGTTAAAACTTATTGCACCTAATAGAAAAGTTATGAGGATAATGTAAATCCACATTGAATTTGTAGTAATATTGTATCATTGAAATAAATAACAAGTGCCAAAATATAGTAAAATGGATAGATTGATTTGATGTATGACTCATCACCTACGTATGTACCAAGCTGACTCCTATTCCCAGTACTGGAATTTTCATTTTAAGTTTGGTTTGCAGGACAACTATTGAATAATATTGGATGTAAACTCTTGGCATTATATATTTTTTCCAATCAACACCTACATTTTATATTTCTATAGTGATAATGTACCAAAACATGCGTTTTTGCCCATTGAAAAGTTTGTTTTGGCACTTACCCCAATATTTATTCAATGATAGAATTATAAAAAATGTCTTCATTGAGGATAAAGGGTACAATATACAATTTTTGATTATAACTTAAGTCTCTGCACTTACAATTTGTATTAATTTGTAATTTACATTAAGCAATCAGTCTAAATTGGATAGGCAGGTTTCTTTATACAGTAAATGGAAAAAAACAATAATAAAAACAATAATAATAATAATAATAATAATAATAATAATAATAATAATAATAATAATAATAATAATAAATTTGACCATGAATAAAAGCAATTTCAAAGTAACTAATATAAATATTAATCTCTTTTGAATTTGAAGCTGTTGATATTATGCATCTAATAATACCCATTTTATATAAAAGTAGGTCATTTATTTGAGTCAATTGCCTATTAATAAATTAAATTATGTAAGGTAGTCGAGGATTTCTTCAAACATTTTACAATCCAGTAAAATTTCAGAACAAAAATTACATCATTCTTCTTTTATACAGAACTACACATAATCATGCCTTTGTCTCTAAATTAACTGCATAATGACATTAGATGAACAGCAAGAAATATAAAGTTATTTATTAGAATATTAATTATGATTATTTTGGGGATATTTGATAGACAATAAATAATAAGCAGCAAAATTTATTGAACATTATTCACTGATATTTGAACACCTACCTGTCAAAGACTTAAGGCTACAAAATCACAATGGTATTGGTATCATCATGGTATTGTTAAGTGATTACTGAAACTTCAATAATTTCTATACAAAATACAGTACTACTTGATGCAATTACATTGTTATAATTTGACAATTTTACACAATCTAGCAATAAAAAATTGTTGCAGACATTCTTCTGGTATTATTTGGTTGCATGAAAGAAGATGCAAGGAAGATCACTTGATATTTTTGGCTCAACAATTTAAAAACTGTTTAAGTACACCATGGTTAGGGATGCCACATCGCAAGACCAGATCTTCAAGATGACTACCAACCATCCGAGACGACACAACACAAAGGAACAAGTTGCTGATCAATGTGGAAAGCTTGATTGCATGTCAGGATTCCTGTAGAAAAAAGAATTCAACACAGAATACAATGCAAAATGTAATGTTGATAAATAACATAGAAACTGACAATTTTCTCTCAAATTTAATGTCATTGCCATTTAGCTGGCATGTTAAGTTACATTTCATGTACAGAATTGTACCTGCATTTTAAAATGTGATTGTTACTTTGTCATCAGATTTTATTCTTCAAAATGTTCATGCTAAAAAATGAAAACCAAGAAAAAAATATTAGCATACCTGGAGAAAATAACTATTTTATAAAACATGTATTTAAATGAAAGTACTATCAAAATGTAACATTCTGAAACAAACACTTAAAAATTAAAGTATTATATAAGAAATGTGGAGAACAACCATAAATAATATCCTGAAGTCAGGTTAACAGGGCTTGATTAGTAGGAGCAAAAACATTTAAAACATTGTTTGCCAATGATTATATAAGCCTGTACCAGTGTATTATATAGATGGAGAAAACAACTACAAACAAACAAAAACAAGGAGTAGTTATACAGTTAAGGAGGTGAAAAAATGTTTATCATTAAATATTCCAGGAATAAGGCATTAAAAAATCTTAATAAAAATATTAACAATTTGTAGGTTTCACTAATGATTATTCCACCTGATAGAGAACCAATTTAGTTCCAAGGATTAAAATAATTACAAATCTCACCTTGAATCGTGCAGTGAATCATATGATCATAATCTTACAATGAATTCACATTTTGGTATTAGGTTACCGCCAATAAATATTTGAATACAATTAAATAACTAGATAAAATTAATAAAATTAAATATTATTTGTACTTACAGATTCTTTGTGCATGTGTAACTATTAAGAACTGACGATTACCTTACAAGGAGGAAGAAAGATGATAAGTGATCATGATCATGACAATGATAAATGATGACGAATCATGATAATTTTACCAATGTATACCAAAGCAAGCATACCTCATCTTTCTGTTAACTTAAAGTTCTAACTAAAACTACAGCAAATTCAAAGAAAACAACAAACATTGCAAACAGATTTTTTGTAAGATATTTTCAAATGACAAGTTGGTGTTACAGTATTCATGCAAATTTTGAATTAAATTCTGGTTCGTGTTTTCCAAACTGGGAGCACTTTTATTGTTTCTTCATAACTTCACTTCTTGTTAGTGTTCTTGATTGTAAATTGTCTTCTTGAAGGAAGCAATGACGTCTACTTATTAATAATCTCTTTCTGGTTGTGACTTGCCTATGAGCATGAGTCAGCACATATCTGCTATGTCTCCTGATCTTATTACATGTGTATATATTTCATTTTGTACTAAGTTTATCTAATTTTATTATTTCTGAGAGGGTTGGAATTTTATATTGTCAATTTAGTACGAAAGAAATCAATCCATGGTATTCTTTCTTGTGGATTCTATTTTTATGTCGGTGCCAAGTGGCGTCTTCATGATTAAGTATCTCCATATATTTTAAAAGCTAGTTCACATACCAATACTCATTTCTTCGTCGTTGTTGCTCAGTGTCTACACTTCCATCCCATTTCACATCTTTACCAGATTTTTTCTTCATTCCTTTCAAAATTCCATGCCGTTTGAGAATACCTTTACGTTTGGAATTCTGTTGTACTTTACGTTTCCCAACTCTCTTCCTTTTTATTCTCCGCCTTAGTTTTCTTGGTTTGGAGCGACGATAGCTTCTAGGTTTGGAATGACGATAGCGAGGCATTTTTACGAACAATTTTCTCTCAAATCTGTCCAGGTGTAAAAAAACGTGAATTTGTTTGTCAGATAGTCTAAAAGAATGATGTGGAAGATTTGTGCTGCGAGAGTGATTTGTTTCATATTATAGGAAGTTGACTGACGACTCATTGATAATGCAAACACTCCCTAGAATAGAGAGATGAAGATGGTCAGAAACATTGTATAGGGCAATAGTAACAAAACCCCAAATGGCAGTGTCTTTCATCCAAATATTATTTGAACATTTAAAGATGGCGCTACTTAGGAGTTTCATTGAAATTTTATTATTTACTGTTTAGTTGCGAGCGACATTATTCCGCAATCTTCCATTGCGTATGTGTGTTTTTTCTAAAGAGAGTTTAAGTGTAACCGTACCACTAGTAGTTTTATACCTATTCCTTTCCGATGTGTTCTCTTTAGGATCCGTGCTAATCAAAGATACCTAACTACTTTGTACTACTTAATATAAGAAACAAACTATACAACACTAATAAGCGAGCCACTGATGGTTAGGAAATTTCTGGACGGATCTGCATCAAAGAGATTGAAAACCAAGAAAACAGAAGTTTCTGCACTATGCTGTAAGGGAACCTGGAGGCGCACGCGCAACGCGCAGCACTCGTTATGCAGCAACCAATGTTATCAATGCGCACCACACGAAAAAATGCGTTCAAGGCTCTTAAAACCAGTTATTTCCCCCTTGTAATTATCAACGTATAAAAACATTCTTGGCATTCTATTATATTTTTGGGGGTAGGTTTCAGACGGGAATGATCATTCGCGAAATATTCACAACGAGCAGTGTATACATTTTAGAAAAAATAGCCTAATCGATTTTGATTAAATTTTGTTGTTGGGTAGTGTAAACGACGTGAAAGAGAATGGTGCGTCTAATTTACGTTGAACTCTAATTTTTCGAAAGGCACGTGTCATCGTGTCACGAGGGCTTGTAGATACGCACGCGCGGAGTACGTGGCGCTTATGAAGTACGCACACGCGGGGCATGTGCCGTGATCTGCCTGATAAGGACTCCGCAGCAGCCATCAGCTTGGATTTACTGTGACTGATTACTAGTAATGGCAGCAGTTGCATTGAATGCTGCGGAAGCAGGTATTGTGGCACGATAGACGTGTTGGTAGCACGTGTGTTATTACACATTACTTAAACTCTTCATGACTGGGGAGACATTCACAGTTTATGTTGGCATGAATTCAACACATAATGAATTATAGTACAGTCGAATGTATTTAAACACGTGGTTCACTGAGCACATTTAACACAACTGATGAATTGCAATGCGCACTTAGGGTATATTAAAATAATAAAATACATGAACTCAACTATTTATAGAGAATTTTTGGTTGTGAATGAACGTATTTAAAACGTGTAGTTCACTGGTCATGCAGCAGGAATTGTTTACGTGAATAATGAAACTACGTGCATGTGGCGCCATCGCTTGAAGCACACGATATGTAACAATACTGAGATTAATCACTTCCACATTGTAACTGGAAGGGATGTGTCCATGAGCTTATGCATATCCATGTACCACACATGGAGCCGTGAGGCTAATGAAGAAAATGTGTGCTGTGCAGCGCGAGAACGCTTGAACAGGTTGGCGCGATGGACAACTTAGAGGCAAGGACAAGACAAGACGGAGAATTCTGTAACCGCTTCTCTGACGACGCGTAAACCGGCTGGCATTGCGTTCGCCTCAGATGGGCTCGGAGCTTCTCGGGCCCCGGCGCCTGTTTCTCACGCTGGTGAGAATGAGAGCGCTTGCAGAGAGCGGCAATAAATTAAATTACAGAAGTATAGCCCAGGATGTGGTGATATTCGTGGTCGGTTGAACATATATGAGCGTACACAACTCGTGACTTCTCTAGAACGTGCAATTGCCTATAAAACAAATTAGCTGACTGATACAGCGAGTTCTAACAAACGTTTCTCGTACCACTATCTACTCATCAAAGGCCTGTTCGTGTTCACAAACCTTCGGAAGAAGCAGTTTTAACTGAATTAGTAAGAAAAACTATATTGGGGAATGAGTTGGCAAAAGAGTCGGGTATTTGCTTGTGAGGGAAAGTAATTTCTTCGGTCTCACTATATAAGAGTTTCGTAGTGTGTAGCGTAACAACTTTTTGAAAGAAATGGAATTAAAGACCTACTCACAGAAGATACAGTTGAAATTCCCTGTGATGGCCAATCGCCTTGTTTGTTTTACGGTGGACTATTTTCAGCCGACCACCGTGGAGAATTGTGGGTGTAGGGAATTGTGTGAAATGTGGGCGCACAATGACTGTGGTGGGGTCGAAAAGAACATTTACATTTGTGTTTTTGTAAATACCCCCCCCCCAAGTTTATGTAATAAAATAGCATTTGCATACGTAAATATGTAATTAGTTTCTCTAACCGCTGGTATTAATTAATATTTTAAGAGGGCTCATAAAACCAGTACATATCTTTTTTGAATTATTGATTTTTATCCAATTTCTGAGCAGTTAATAAAGTTCATATTTTTTAAATAGTTAACACAAATTTTGAAGTTTAAGTTAACATATTTATTTTTTAAAAAAATCAACAAATTAAAAATCAATTAAATAAATCAATTAATTAATTTATTAATTTTTAAGTCGAAATAAACGTTATGGCTAATATTACGACCTTCTCCACTAATTGTATGAACTCCAACTCAAATGATACATTGGAATAGATATATACCTAGTATTCCATATAACCAGGCAATGCCATTTTAAAATCAATAGTCTAACCTAAAAGTGAAGAACTCCAAGCAACAAAATGCGCAAAAAGAAATAATAGTATTGGCTGGTCAAAACCTATGTGCGTAAAGTGCTCGAGTCCGAAAAGCGAATCATCTTCGGTAGCAGGCGTGATGCCAGCTGGTGACTGCCTGCAGAGCATCATATGAACATTCTGTAGTAGTTTACCACTGTTCCATTTAGCTGCAGCTCTTGACAGAGGAAGTACCGTATTCCATATTACGTGAACCTCCTCTACTTGCTAAAACCATTGACATGGTAATCGTATCCGGACAGACTAATGTGTTTCCACCTGTTTGCCATCAACACATCACAAATATTATATTTCCTGTTCATATCCATGATTGATTTTGATTCTCTCTCTCTCTCTCTCTCTCTCTCTCTCTCTCTATATATAT